ACAGCGCTCTTTTTCAGGATTATCTGCATTGCATTGTGTTATACTATTTTATTCTTCATCGAATGATCACATTAGCTTTATAAACCTCGGACGAGTTACTCTCACCTATTCGTGGATTTATCTCCCTGACGTACAGGCACCTTAGTTTTTCAACCGGCTTGCCAACCAGAGCACCGATGCCTGTCTGCACTCCGTGGGAAAACCTCACCCAATCGTCTAATCTCATAGTTTAAGACTGCAAGCTGCCATACTATCTTGTCTGTTTCCACCGGCGCACTAACTTTTGTTGACTTCCAAAAACAATTCTGCACCCCATTCCGACCCAAATGTGTCACTCATTCCACTGCATTTACCGCAACACGCCATCATATCCCCAAGTCGACTTGTGATCTTCGTCTACCAGCTCATCATCCTTTTTAGAATGAGTCTCATATGACTACCTTGGCGTTTTTGCACAGATTAAATCTGTTATGGAGTCTGATGGTGGCAATTGATATGCCTACTTTCTCATCTACTTCTATTGCTTATCATTCTTGTCCTTCTTGACCCATGCCGCTATCTTGTTATTTCCGCTTCTCAGGCGCCTCGATAGTTCCACTCGGGCATCTTAGCAATTCCACTGATGGTGGCGTCACTCCCGGTCATACTCATTTTTCGGGACCGCCTTCTGACAGTGCTCGGATCACGACAACTGATTCTGGGGCCGGCAACGAGGCTGACCAAATAGGTTCTTCCATTGTGGCACTCTCATCTCCAGATGCTGCCCCCATCCAGTTGCCCCCAGAATCTGGGGTCACATCTCCAGTGGTAGTCTGCTCCTCGTCCTCTTCATTCTCCATTGCTTCGACGCCAATTTTGACATCTGCCAATTCTGTATCAACGGCTTCCGGAAACGCATCTGGTATTTTCTCTTCGCCAGGCCTCCACTCTTCTGGCCGATCGCTGCCTGCCCTTTTGAGTCTTGGATTCTCCAGTCCTCCAACCAATGCGTCGGTGATAGATCAGTGGGGCCACGCGATCTCCAATTGGGATCAGTATTGCAAAAAGAGGCAATATTTGGCGGTAAGCCTCTGTCGGGCCTGTTTATTTGCCATGGGTACATCAGATTTTCGGTCCTATTGGTGCAGTTATGGTGTTGCCTGAAGCAGCGACCTGGAAGTTTAACCACTGGCATAACCTTAAATTGCGCATAAATCACCATTTCTAAGAGTAACCTCCACATGTTTAATTTGGAGACTCTCATTACGATTTTTTAGTTGACATTAATGCAAAGCTAAATGATCGAATGAGCGTGACATCTGTCGTTGCGTCGCCCTTTTACACAAATAAGTCAATTGATGTATTATTATTGAGGCCAAAATAACTACAGAGGCAACTTTTATGCTAATAACGAATTTTTGGTAAGCTACAAAGCTATGACACACAAATGCCCCTTAAATAGATTAACAGAATAGAAGACTGTTTAACTTATCAGTAAGATAACATTCGAGCTTGGTTCTGATTGCTAGGCGAAATTGATATTTATCCAGATCATAAAATGTTTCACCAAGCGTGACTCACTTTACTCAAATAGCAAAAACGTGAAATTACTATCGAATGGCTTCATATAATAGTCACTTATGCTGTTGGAAATGTGAATTTCGGAGACCCTGATTCGAACTTGTTTCATGGGAGGAACCAAAGATTTGGCATGATGTAGCTCAGGCCACCTCGGCGAAAATCATCCTTAGGTGCATTCGTTAGACGCTTCTATCAAGTTCCGATTCTTTGTTGAGATTACTTTTGTCCCGTGAAAGCGTTTGATAAATAGATTCGTAGGTCGATCTTACCCGTGCCTATGTACCAACAGCAATCATGTTGATGGACGTTTGTGAATTAACTGGGGTTGCTTCCAACCCAACGTTCAATTCTGCTTAAGAACAAAGTTCAAGCCGTAGTTTCAGAGGTTCTCTTTACCAAAAGCAAATTAAGCTACACTTTTGTCGACGCTAACCTTCATTGGTTCAAGCACTATATTAATATAACAATTTAGTCACAATGGGTTGATTAAGATGATTTATACCTAAACTATATTGTTAAACCCTCGTGGTTCATCACATCTCATCTATTAGTCCGTTTATATAATTTTATACCAAATACGGGATACAAATAAATGAATATTTTGATCGAATTATCTAGGACTAGCTTTTTCAGGTCATGCATCCTGTAAATACGAAATTAACCTTAAATATCCTGCTGTAGCCGATTTTCTTTCATTATGACCAAGGATGTGCGTTTTATAGATTTATTATTCAATGAAATCTATTGCTATTTTGTTGTGCCTACTGGTATGCACATTTGATTTCTATTCGGGCAACGAATGCCGACTTCCACTTTTTATTTTCACTGAGAGTATTTTATTTACAGTTGCTTTACAAATCTTTTTTTACTCGCTTCCTTCAGCATAGTGGATTGGATTTTGCTCTTGTCCCAAATAACTGAATTAAATTTACAGAGTAAATAGCTGATTAATTCTGACTTAATTGGCTTTATTTGTCCGTTTCGTCGTACTTGATTTTGTCGCACATCTATAGCCCCAGAGTCCACCTATTTTAATCACTCTGATATTTTAGGATATGGATATTAAAGTATATGGGACTTGAAACATATTTATTAATCTTATCTTCCTGAATGAGACAACGGTAAGTGGTTTGATTTCGTTTTCCCAACTTGGATGTATTGTCAGAGAGACCTAGATGAACGCACCTTGTCCCGATTCCTCTGACGTAGCATCCATAATACTTTCCAGTGTCGGACCGTGGACTTATTACATTTCGCGAACATTATAGCTTGCGTGGCTCGTGAGCCTTGACATTCCTAGCACTACACTACCACCCGTCGGAGCGAAACGTCTGGTCCGACGCTGAAAAGTATTCAGAATGATATGACAGGACGCAAGACTAAGTACGTCCCATAAGGTCTTCCTGTCTCTTCGTTCAAGTTTTGATTCCAAACCAACAATACTGCTAGAGGAGACCGCTATCAATCACAAGGCCATACCATTTTGGTCTTCCTATCTCCACTTCTTTTCTTCGATATTTTTATTTCCTCTTCACTTACTCAATGAGTCTACAAAAAACTGGTCTTTAAATTTTGGCGTTCTCACTCGTTTATGAAACAGTCGAAACTTAATAGTCAGTCTACAGAAGCATGTAAATTATTAAGTTGAGTTGGCATGGATACGATTAAGTCTGAAAGGGAAAATTCAAATCGCCCAAGATAGTAAGCCTACTCTTGCCACCGTCTAGCGCAGCGAGAGAGTATTTTCTAACTGGACACTCAAATGTCTGACTATGACTCCACCATTTAATAGAGATGGAATTATTTCTATTATTATTATTATTATTATTATTATTATTATTATTATTATTATTTATTTTTATTATTATTATTATTATTATTTCTATTAGCATTCCATAATTATATGTTCATCTCAATGTTCAGGTAGATGTTTTATAATAGAGCTTCTTTTAGCACGTCGATTTCGTCCAAGTTGTGAATTTTCCTGATACGCTTGGAGAGATTTATAACAATTCCACTCTTAGCTCAATTAGATAAGCAACTCTGATGATTTGGATATCGAATAACCTTGGCATCTCAAAGGCCTTATTTTTGATGATCGGGTCAAAGATGTCTTCTCAAATCGTTATTGAGATACAAGCTGCTTCGCTCCACTTCGAATTTCGGGAGATTTAAGCGCTCATACATCACTTACAACGGGAAGGTCCTTTGTTTCCATGTCTCCTTGACGTCATGCTGAAATTAATTTCAACATTAAAATTATTTAAAGAATGGAAGTATTCTTCACATAGTGGCTTTCTTGGGAAGAAAAAATTTCACTTCATTTGAATGTGCCTCTATCTATGTTTTATGAAAAGTCTTTGACTTATGACTTGCAACTGAAGGCGAAATTTGCTATTTCTTGCTGCCTTTTCATCAAGAGTTATCTGGTTGGCTTAAAGCGAATTTGCTTCCAATATCTCATCCTTTGTTAACTAGAGAATTCAGGGATACATGTTAAACACTCTTTTCCCATTTTATAAAGATACAAAAAAATGCATAAAAACGAGCAAGTTATGATTCATCATCCTTGATCTGTGACTGAAGTTGTACTATTTAACAGAAATGATTACTTTAATAAAATGGACCTTGTTCTCTGAAAACGTGAAGACTTATGTGCCTATGAGCTAAGAAATTGGAGCTACATGCATTCTTTAGTTTAATCGGAATTTATGTATCTGGGCTTAAACTGACTTAATATGTCTAGAATATGCTCTTACCTGAAAACATATGAATTTTCTGATGTTGGAGTACCTTTCCTTTCGTTTGAAAAGGAGAGTTTTTTACATATATATGAATCTTCTGTTTGTCTTGTAAATTTTTTTATATGAACACACTTTTGTCAAACGTTTGCCACCAGCTTGATTCACAAGGGAGCCTACCCTGTTTCAAAGACAGCTTCACTTTTGATGAACAATTCTAGCGCATATAAATTATTTACCAGATATACACGGTAGAAGTCTACATTGTCCAGATTAGCTGAAAGGTAGGAATCACAAATGCCTAATTTTGCCTCGCACAAAGAATATCAATTTCTAGTCTAGTAAAAAGTTAGCAGCTCTATGAAAAGCCGACTACAACTTAGACGAGAGCTGGTCTTACTTTTTAGGACCGACTCTATTCCTATCTCTCCACATAACTTTCTGCCTATGCTCAGACACTCCAGCTATGTTTATAGATTACCACGTGGTCGTTGTCTCAAATAAGTAAAATCTCGCCATATAGGTAGATTTAAAAAAAGATTTAACAGCGAAAGTAGGGGATTCGCGAAAAGTTCGGCCTTGGGCTTTCTGATGGTTTGGTACTCTGATTTATATCAGATATAAAATTGATTTACTGGTAGTCTCGAAACGCTACTTATATATGAAAAATGTGATTTATAATTTTTTATTCCTTCCTATAGATCCCATTTTAATCTATCTTTTCCATATTTTCCCTTTAGGATCTAGTCCGAAGAGGTGTTCCCGGTGAGTTTCGTCCCCTCATTTGGCAACTCTGTTCGGGGGCCAATAACTCTTATATGAAAAGGAAGTTTCGCTCTTTACTTAACTCCACTTCACCTTATGAGAAGGCAATACGACGAGACATCTCACGAACCTTTCCCAAGCACGAATTGTTTAAAAAGAAGGTGAGAAAATTGTTTGCTATTTTAGTAGGACTTATTTTGGACTTTTTCCTTTTATCTCTATATTTGAGTTCCTGCATTATCTGCATCTATGTCGGCATCTTTGTAACATTCATTTGCTCATACTAAGTAGGCGAATGGAGTATCGAGGACAAAGAGACTTTGTGCTTCGGCTGTGAGGACATTTGAAGAATGTATTTAATTTTGGGGCTTTGTTCTGGTAGAGAATAGTTCCGAGCTTGGAATCAGCCGGGTGACATCTCCTTTTCCGTTGGCTTATTTTCATAATATACTGACTTTACTTCACAATTAGTTTGGCTTCATTTCTCAACTCATGCAACATTTGGCGGAGCACGACTCATCTGCACTGTGTCCCACAGGAAATGAGTGAAACTAGTCACCACATTGAGACTCCCCGTCGAGCCAATCAGAGCGTGGCATTAAATGTACTCAAGAGTATTTTAGTGTAGAGTCTCTCTAGGCTGACCGGAACTCGCCCTGTCGTCCGGTCGATGGACTGTCGTTACTCTGTGGTACAACCTTTCTGAGTGTCATTTTTCCTACATACAATACATTAGGTGGCTTCTTTTTTTTCTCAATACAAGGTTGTTGTATTCTATACGCCAGCAAGAAGCTGAGTATATATTTCATAGTGAATATTTTCTGTTTCACGACAATAACATTCGTGGCCTGGCCCAACCAGTACACATTTCATTCATATGAAGCATATTCATTCTATTTCATGATAACGGGTGATAAGGGGACGCCTGGTAATTGAATTTTCCCAAAATCATATTAGTAGACCTCACGCTTCCATTACATGTCACACAGGCTTGCTTCCCCAAAAGGTATTCCCCTCCATACTGAATTGGTGTGCAATTTCGACCTCGCCTAAATTGGTTTTATCAGCACCTCCAACCGGACTCGAACCCGAGTCGTGCTGATGCAGGATACAACTTAGGCGTGTTAACCGCTATTCCACACTGCCACGAGTGCTCTTGAGTGACAGGGCAGATGTGAATTTCAATAAAGGCCTTGCGTTTGCCCATATCACATTGTGGTGGGATTGTCGATGAAACAAAATTGTAGTTGCTCTAACACTTGGTTACATTATTAATTTTTATTGGTGAATAGGTTTTCTAGACTACCAGCAAACTATGCATATATATATATATTTATATTTATCTTTATTTATATATATATATATATATGTATGTATGTATGTATGTATGTATGTATGTATGTATGTATGTATGTATGTATGTATGTATGTATGTATGATATTTATGTATGTATGTATGTATGTATGTATGTATGTATGTATGTATGTATGTATGTATGTATGTATGTATATATGGATGAGGTGTGTGATTTAATTTCGTGTAATGGGGCAAATTGATGTGGTAGGCCATAGTACGTTAGTCTGTGGCACGGAGAAGGGCCACGAGAGCTGCTACAGCAGCGGGGCTATTCGGCCGAATGCTAGGGGCTGGCAAGAATCTGCTGCATTGAGCCTAACAAGCAGCGCCAGTCTAGACGGCCGAGGGTGCGCCTGGAGGGGATTCTGTTTCATCTACCTCTTCACAGGCCTGAAGGTGCAAAATTTGCCTGTATCGATCGGCTTTCGATCGATGCACTAGCTTGGGCTAACTTGACCCTCTGGGGCCAAATTCTCGCCAGTCTGGCTTGCATTTTGCTGACAAGTCTCGTGCACTCAGGCATTATCAGCCTGAAAAATGCCCGGTTAGGCAAGGGAGACAATTTGAAACTGGGCAATTTAGCCGACTGCACTCAGTCCAGTCTCACAACAAGTTCTAGGCATTACTGGCTTGGTATTGGCTTGACCTTGTTTTCACAACTTGGTTGGACCGACGAGGATACCTTGTCGAAAGAACCTATTTCCGCGTCCTATGTACTTTGGTGTTCATGATGATTTTCAGCATCGGACTCTTTGGTTTGGTACATCCCCAGACGTTTCGTCGGTATCGTCAGTGAGAGGCGCCATCTTTTCTCCAGCGTTACAACTTATCAAAGTGACTTGTCACTTGGCCATACCAAATGAACGGTCCGATGCTGGAAATAATCATGAATGCTCTGGCAGAGGACGTAGGACTAGGTACGTTGCACAAAGTCTCTCTGTTGTTCCGACAAAGTTGCGAAACAAAGTCAAACCAACACTATCAGGCCAACACAGACTGCGACCAAAGAGAAGGACACACCATCTTGCACTTCATAGCTGCGATTTAATTACATCATCAGAGCAAGGTATCATCGGCACAACCAAATTCAAGCTAACGAGTCAAGACAGCTCACTGACTCGTTAGCTTGAATTTGGTTGTGCCGATGATACCTTGCTCTGATGATGTTTGTCACATGACGGATAAAAGCTTGGCAC